TATTGTGAATTTGTGTGAAGAAAAAAAAACGCGCATTACATCACAGACAAAGAGAGTAGGTAGATTCAAAAAAAAAGCAAACTACAGCTAATCTTGCAAATTAATTTAAAGCTAAAAAAAAAATACGCGTTCTTAAGAGTATTACCTCAAGTGTTTTTATAAAAAAAAAACACAAAAACATTGTAGAGAAATAACTGGATTAAAATTAAAAAAAAAAACAAAGGAAATACAGATAATTGAAAATAAATTTATCTAACTTTTAAAAGCGATATACCTAAGATAACTGAACTAGTATCTAATGTAAAAAAAAAGGATAAATGTTAATACAGTTTTCGTTCACAAATGAACGAAAAAAAAATTCGGCTTGAAGTRAATAAAAGCGAAGCGAAGGCGCTAAAAAAAAAAGAGAATGCAAGGCCACACTAACAATGTTATGTATGAAAACAATATGTGCAGTCACGAGAGAATGTTCACAATTATTTGCCAATCGAAAAAAAAAGTCAGTCGCACGTACTGTACTTACATATCAGTATAGAGAAAAAAAAAGACTAAAGTTGCAAACATGCTTGCCATATATGAACTTTAAAAAAAAACTGTGATTGATAACAAAAACATGAATTGTATTTTACATAAAAAAAAATCAGAAGAAAAAAAATCTATAAAGCTAAAAAAGAGAAAAAAAAAAAATTGTTTGCAAGTGGAGTGTAGGAAAAGTTGCTTAAGATAAAAAAAAAAATGAAAATAAAAGACGCAGTCTCCATCTGTAAAATTAAAAGAAAAAATTTATTTACGAAAAGTTTTGGAACAAGCTTTCAAGAAAAAAAAAAATTTAAAAAAAAAATTTCATTTTCTTTGAATTCTTAGCTAAAAAAAAATTTTATCAAGAAAGCGCCCAAAGATATTTCAAAAAATAAAAAAAAAAAAAGGCGTGGATATATTTACCGAAATGAGATTAGATACTTTGGATTTGCAAACGTTTCTTTTCCTTCATTGCAATGATGTCGTGCAAAAAAAAATTTACCTTATAAGAAGTCAACCTTTGCCAACAGAAGTGAAAAAAAAATACCAAATTCTTGCCTCTTCGAGATCTTGTTAAAATCTAAAAAAAAAAAACCAAGGAATTCATATAATTGGCTGAAATTTGCCAAAAAAAAAAATCTGCTTTCACCAAACTTTATTTCTCCCACGGTACTCCAAAAAAAAAGGTCAAAAAAGCGTTTCAGAGATTTGCTCCTAAATGTCAAAAAAAAACTCGCCAAGGGAGCCTCGAATTAACTTGAAATAGTGTTTTTTTGTCGCATTGAATAATTCATAACCTTTTTGAGCAATTATTCACAAAAAAAAAAAAGGAATTGGGCAATCCCATCTCATATTTCATCATTAAAAAAAAAATAGTATTTTTCGAGGGAAGTTCTTTGTCAACGCGATCGAAAAAAAAAATCTGGTGATTTGGGTCATTCGATGGTAAAATAGTTGCTATTTATTATTCATATGATTTGACCACTTTAAAAGTAAAAACAAAGAAAAATTAAATTTGTTGTAAATCTGAAGCGTTTTTCTAATATACCTCTAAAAAAAAAATCATAATTTTGGTCTCCTTATCGCAAGCGACAAGCAGAAAAAAAAAACTAATTAACTAATACTCATAGAGCCATTCCTATACAAAAAAAAAAAAGATTGCATAACGTTTATTCACAGTAAGTAGTATACCCAAAAAAAAAACGTCAATTGAACGGTTACATCAATATAGTAAAAAAAAAAAAAAAAATAAATCAAGTCATTTTGAAAACAACGGACTATACCGGAAAGTTCGTTCATTTACGTTTCTGGAAGTCCCCTACCTGGTGAATTGCAAAAAAAAAACTCTAGAATAAGATAAAGGTGAAGCAAAGAGGACTTCAAAAAAAAAATCTCTAAAAAGGGTGATTTTATTTTCACTCCAAACACAAAAAAAAATTTAAACCGTGGGAAACAATTTGATTCAAACACGCACTAAAAAAAAACACAACAAACATGTCATACATTCTAATGAAAAAAAAAAAAAAAAAAAATATATAAAGTTCAACAGAAAAACAATGTGCCGAAAACAAAAAAAAAAAAAACAAAAAAATTCTATAAATATTCTATATATCATGAAAAAAAAACAATAACTTTTGCGTGATATGTATAATTCGTATTGTATTCTGTTGAGAACAATCTGACACTTTTATCTCGTATGTTAAGTTCTCGAAAAAAAAATAAACAATTCCATTCCTTAGTTCTTATGTTAGCTCTTTAAAAAAAAAAATTAAACCAATAGGATACATATACATTTAAGGAGAACAAAAAAAAACGAGGGCCCCATTGGCCACGACTTTCTTCGTGGTCCTGAAAAAAAAAGAAAATCATGACTTTGCGAGAAGCTTGCTCTCCAGATTAAAAAAAAAAATTCTTCAGACTTCACGTCAAAGTTTGTGTGGACTGAAAAAAAAAAGAGACRCGGAGCTGGAGTGCTATAGCCCTAGCAGTTTTTTCTCTTTCTTTCTACCTTTATAATCTATAACACTTTCCTATAACAATTCCCCTTTCCTTTCTGTTAATGGCACTATACACGTTTGAGACTGGTTCCGCGTTTAAACGGAGAAAGTGGACATGACGTGGTGGCATCCTATTGAGATTTGTCGGAATTGTCATGATTTTCTTATAAAAATTACACTTAATTACTTAAAATTGAGTAACTAAATAAAATTCCTAAAAATGACTAATGATAATTCTTTAATAATTCTGATTTGTTTCGTTGATTTGTTTTGTTTCTTTTTAACAGATCGATCACTTCATACTAAGTACCTGAAGTGTCGTGAAAAAAAAAAAATGCCTTGGTATATATTCACACAAGACAACCGGTGACAAAAAAAAAATAGATACCGGCAAATAATTACCACAAGAAAAAAAAAAAAAAAAAAACGATCATTGAAATGCCATTGGCAGCCTCACTAGAAAGTAAAAAAAAATCTAGCAATGACACATATTAAATATGTTGAAAACATACAAAAAAAAAGCATCTATATTAAATGCAAACTTGTTAAATAACTTTACAAAAAAAAAAATAACCATTTAAATTCAGTTGTTAATGCTTGTGTGCCAAAAAAAAATACGTTTTTAATGAATTAACATGTATACTAATGTGTATAAAAAAAAAATTCTATTATAACAACATATCAAATAATTGCCTCAAAAAAAAAAAAATTCGTTTGGCAGCCATATTTGGTAAATATTACCCTATTTACCTTATTAGGAAGTACGTGTGGACTGATTTTTGACGATTTTCTCAAAAAAAAAAGCTTAAAATCGTCTGAAACTTGCAGATATTTTAGCGAAAAAAAAAAACAATAATCGGCCACTTTGTTTGTTTCCATATATGACATAAAAAAAAAAAAGGAAGCCCAAAACTAAAATATGACCGAGAAAGGTTAAAAAAAAATATAGCAGTAAACAAAAGTACTGTGCTATAAATACACCAAAAAAAAAAAAGATCATTGTACGCACTAGATGAGTGCAATAAAAAAAAAAAAAAAGCCACTTGAGTTTTAAAGAAATGAATTACCGAAAAAAAAAAAAAAAAGCTATTGTGAATTGAGAAAATTGCTAATTTATATCAAAAAAAAAAAACTTTAAGCGATATTTTCAGCTAATTCTGAGTGCAACAAAAAAAAAAAAGATTCTCTTGAATAGCCTTGTGTTTCAGTTGAAAACCAAAAAAAAACCGATCTGTTGACGATGTACAAAGTATGCAAAAACAGAAAAAAAAAAATTCAAAAGACCATTGGCATCTTCAGTGTATTAAAAAAAAAAAAAAAGTCAATTAGAAGACTTTCTGACTCATAAACGTAATAAAAAAAAAAAACCATTGACAACAATGTGAAAGCACGACTGTGTAATTATAAAAAAAAAGGACCTTTCTGTTCGTTCGTCCAGACAAAGTGCCAAGTAAAAAAAAAATAACCATTGCACGCTGAGAATGGTTTCAAGCCTATAAGAAGATCTTTACAAAGATCACTGTGACAAATCCAAGACGACTAAGAAAAAAAAAAACCTCAATACGGGGTCTTTCCAATGAGTTCAGACGAGGTAAAAAAAAAATTCCAATGTTTAAGGGCGATATTTGCATCTTTCGGTGAAAAAAAAAACATCTTCTCATTGTCTTCTCTATCAGTTAAGACAACTAAAAAAAAAACAAAAAGGCAAATAACTATTTCCAAACACCATTATGTAAAAAAAAATTGAGACCGGGTTTTTCATCACTTTCCAAAACAACTATAAAAAAAAATCAGATCTGTGATTTCAGATGGAACTACAACTACCTAAAAAAAAAAAAAACCCTTTTCCTCTCATCTTCATCACGTCATTCATGAAGATAAATCATCCAATAGACTATGTTAAAACCAATAAAAACAGAGGGAAAAAAAAACTTTGCCATCGTATCGACGCACTGCCCGACATGTCTTGAAAAAAAAATGCTGACCTCCTCCACATCTTCGCTCAGATCAGCGTTAAAAAAAAAACTAGAAGCTAGGAGATCATTTTGCTCAGCTCCATTCTCAAAAAAAAACCCATCAAGTCGTTTGCGATAAGTAGGATTTTCGGTGAAAAAAAAAACTTTTTGCTCACTTTTGTTGCCTTCAGGTTTTGTGTAGAAAAAAAAATCAACATCATTCTGAGATTAAAAAAACCGAGATGAAGTAAGGTAAATGCATAACGATAATATTGTGGTGCATTATTAGTCGAGATAAAAAAAAACTCATATTATCATTAATGGGACTTTCAATAATAGAAGKAATGTCAATTGTTTTGCGCTTGTTTCTACCGTCATAATGTGTGCCCTAAAAAAAAACCGCTACCAAGAAACAGACGTAGCGTTTGTTTGGTTGCAAAAAAAAAAAAAATGAGTTTATTTTCCTGCAATTTGCTGCTTTAGAAAAAAAAAAACTCACCTTTTCGTCTGCATCTTCTTTCTTCTTGCCTTAAAAAAAAAATAAATTCACCAAGACAAAAACGATAGTACATTGTATCAAAGCCATGAAGACCAGAGCAAACGATATCATCAGATACCAATCAAGAAAAAAAAAATARCTGACACGAGGCATGGCCGCGTTTATCGATCCCATTAAGAACATGATGGTCAGGATTGTAGTGATACCCAACGCCATACGGAAAAAAAAATCATTCCTATCCATCCAGAACACGATCCAACTCAACATAAAAAAAAAGATATCAGGCGCGTAAACTTGGATGAGGAAATACCCAAAAAAAAAAATAAACCTAAAATGAACTTCTATAATGGAGTAGTTGCCTAAAAAAAAAGAAAGAAACAYTTT